ATCGATGGGAACATCAGAAATGGTTTACTCTGCCAAGTATGATGCAAATGATTGTGATGACACTCATTCGCAAAGTATTGATAAAATTCATGCAAAGGTTGAAAGTGGTCCTCGAGATCGTTCTCTTGCTATCAATTTTTCCGATAAAGAGATCACATCATTCAAATCCGAGGTGAGTAATGAGTTTGCTGAATCTTCAGCAAACATAAGACACTCTACAGAAGGTGAAAATGGTAGCATACTTGATATGCAAAACGCTGTAATGGATAGTCCTGGAAAAAGTATCCCGTCTTCAGCACGCAGTCTCAATGAATCCTGTGAGGTATTTGTCGAAGCTTCTGCACAAGCGGTACAAAAATCGACAGATAAAGCAGTATCAGATCCTGATGTTTGTGGTATCAGTGTTCAGACCATCCCACAACCTTGTTCTGATGCATCTCAAAGTAAAGATGAAGAAGACCGAGGTGAGGCTTGTTCCATTCCGGAGGCTTCTAAGAGTGATGACATTTCCGGTGTAGAGGCATCTGACATTGCAATGCCCACTTACATCAACGGGAAAGAGGTTTTGGCTGATCCTGGACATTGTTCTTTGGATTGTTTCATCCAATGTAGCACTGAAGATGAAGTTAGCAAAGAGACTTTACAACCTACCGAACTCTCTGAACCTACTGTACAGCTCACCTCAGATTTGAATCCGCCAGTCACAAATAATGGTGAAAATGAACAGCTTCTGTGTTCTGAAATGACTACTGATACCAAAGGAGTTCATGGTGTGAGCAGTCTTCCAGTTGAAGGCGATCAAGATATGGCTTTATCCAATGGTGAGAGCTATGAAAGCGAGAATGTCAAAGATTCTTGTTCGGAACCTCAGACTGATTGAGACAAAGACGCAAGGATGAAAAAGTGAATTATTTGCCGCTGCTTTTGTTTCAAGGTGACACTAAATACTAAGCTCGCGAAGGCAGGAAGGGACTTATGGTAGGCTTTTCAACATAGGCCCAAACTAACTGAATTTCTCGAAGATATGCATCCTTGACTACCTTTTTATTTGTTTGGTGTAAATTTTTACCGCTCAAGGCAGATTGAGATTTACTGTCTCTTTGTTTGTCAAAGCACTTACAAGTTACAAGTTGGTTTTCCGAAAATCAGAGTGAACGGAAGGAATGTGAGAATAGAGACAATTATGTGCTGGTGCAGGATCCAGACTGCGAGAGAATATTACGTAGTATGTATATAGTTTGACTTTTTGCACATTTGTTTGTTTTTTACTCACTCTGGTGCTATTTGCAAGACATATCAAAAGGTCCTGTATATGTCTCTTTTTGTATTATTAATGTACAACTATTATTTTTCGTCCTCAATTTTTCTACACTGAAACTTCTGAAACATATTCTTCGTAAAAATATTTAAGGGTATCAGATTGATGCTCAATCTGAAGGTGTTAAGATTAAACTTTCTTCAATGTTAAATATTTATTACCCTTGATATTATTGAAAGTGTTATTGTATATTGAAATATTAATAATTTAATATATGTGATTTGAATGATACATACGGAGTACAATTAGGAGTGGACTCGGGCCGGGCCAACCAGCCCGGAATTGGACCGGCCCGCTACTGTGCGGGCCCAGACCGGCCCGTTGAACCGGTTGGTTGCCCGGTTCGGGCCACCTGACCCGGTGGGATGGCGGTTCGGGCTCGGGCCCTTCAAAAGGTGAACCGGCCCGGCATAGATTTTTTTTAATAATTACGGAAACTGTTTTGGTAGATATTTATGTTGGGGGGGGGGCATAGATTTCCAAATAATACTGTGTAATTGTTTTTTCTCCCCAATTATTTTGAAAACAACTTCAATGTTTTATCTTTTGGGTTTGTTGTTGGCCTGTTGAGATATACTCCGTAGTAGGGATGGACTCGGGCCGGGTGGCCAGACTCGGAATCGGCCCGGGACCGGTACTGTTCCGGCCCGATCCGGTGGCTCGGTCAGTGACCGGTCCGGGTAGGCCCGGCCCGTGGGTTTTCCGGTCCGGGCTCGGGTCACCCATTTTCATTTTTTTTTAAATTTTCGGGTTGGGCTGAGTATTTTGGGCCATTTGGGGTGGTTTGGGGGGTTGGGGGTGGGAGAGGGGTTAATTAGGAAGAGGAAAACAAAAAAAATTGATAATGTGCCCGACCCGGACCGGACCCGGTGGTTACCCGGGCCGGTCCCGGGTCCACCATTTCTGAACCGCCGGCCCGCCCGGGTCTAAGTCCGACCCGGACCCAGCCCGGACCCGAGTCCATCCCTACTCCGTAGTCCATATGACAATCGATCCAAAGTACAACCTAACTTGTAGGGAGTATAACACTTGGCCCTGTCCACTAATATTTCGACAAGAGAGTGGTGTAATAACTACTATCTCCCTAGATTATAAATAGTGAAAGGAGATATAAAGTGTTGAGGGTATGATGAAAAAGTAATGAAAGAAAGTACAAGTATAAATTTAAAAAAAGTAATTTAAATACTCCATCCGTCTCGAATTGAATTGTAAATTTTGATCGACACAAGGATTAAGACATGACAATAAATGATGCTTGCTTTTTACACTTTTGTCCATCTTTCTAAAAGTAAATGCCTTTAAGTTAATGGGGAAAAAGTAAAAGTAAGGGTAAATTTGTCACTTTATTCTTATTTACATACCTAAAATAGAAAGTGAAAAACCATTTTGGGACAACCAAAAAAGGAAATTTTGCAAATCAAATTGGGACGGAGGGAGTAGTATATTGTTTTTAAAATTATAAAGAGTATGATGAGAAGATTTAAAAAAGAGAAGATATAAAAACGCTGGGAAGCACCACATAATCCACACCGGTGAAGCGGCTTACCGCAACACTAGTTCATCATCATGATTCCCAAACTAAAGAAATATTATTATACTATCTCCGTCCCGATGGACTTTGCCAAGTGCAAAGTAGGTGAGAAATAAGAATAGTAAAAACTGTGTGGTTGAGATTGTGCAGAGGAGAGAGAAATGTGCAGAATCATAAATTAGTTGTTTTAATAAGAAAGTGACAAGGTTTTTTGTGACAATCTAAAAAGGAAAATCGGTAAAGTCCAATGGGACAGAGGGAGTATAACATTATGAGCTTGTGGGAGTTTAGTTTTGGCAGCTGGGAAGGGGCAAGACTGCAAGAATATGAGGTTAATTTAATACTCCCTCCGTTTCACAATCTTTGACACACTTTCCTTTTTTGGCTATTTCACAATCAATGACACACTTCCTTATTTCCTTATTTGGTAAACAAATCTTTACCAAAAGAGTGTAAAACAACGTTAAACAGTGCAAAACAGTGTTAAAACAGTGCCAAACAATGTTCAAACAGTGCCAAACAGTGTACTCTACAGTAAAATTTACCCCTCAGTGATATTTTTTCCTTAATTCTTGACAAGTCAAACTGTGTCAAAGATTGTGAAACGGATGGAGTAAATGAGAAGAGGGTTGTTTAGAGCCGGTCGTGGGAGCCTAGACAATTGTGTAGGGCCCCAATTTGTAGGGGCCTCCAAATAGGAAAATAAAACTATTAGTATTATATATTTATATTTGATTTGAATTGTAATTAAATTTGAATTCTTAAATAAAATAAATCAGCTTTATTAGTGAAACAGAACTTCACAAATAATCATAAACAAAAAACAGAAATTAGAATCGTGTTAAATTTAGGATAAAAGGGTCATCGGTTTGGTTAATGATTAATTTGTTTGATTATTCCATTTTTGCTTTATTGGTGTATTGACATTTTGGCAAGTGAGTAAGATATTATCTATTGAAGAAAAATTGTTAGCTAATTTTGATTGTATTTATGTTCTTACTAATTTTGCAGTTAAAAACTTAATAAAAAGTACCAAAAAGTTTAAGTTCACCGGGTTTTGGAAATATAGTACAAATTAATCCTTTTTACGTCTACAATTTATGTTGCATTTCAAGCAAGTTTTTACTTGGACTTAAATTTGTTGGTCTGGTCTGATTTGGTTTGAACTAATAAATGTCCGATATCTTGTATTCCGTATTTTATAACTATCCAAGTCTGGTTTGATCTAATCTGGTTTGGTCTAGTCTGAGATTGAAAAAGTCCAAGAAAAAACATCCTAATTGTGCTTTGTTTATCACAGTGTAGTGACATAGTGTTATCGCCATTAAATGCAAAAAATAAACCTACGTTACTACAACTAAAAATACTACTATAGTCACTCTTAAGTAGGATGTTTTACTTGGACGGTAATTTGTTGGTCTGATCTGGTCCGGTTAAGTCTGGTCTTATCTGGTCTCGTCTGTTTAAGTCTGGTCTGGTCTGAACTGGTCTGGTCTGGTTTGGTAAACGTCTGGTCTTTGTGTATTTGGAAGTCATGTTTGCTCTGGTCCGATCTGTTTAAGTCTGGTCTGATATGGTTTGGTCTGGTCTGGGAGTTAAAATAGTCCAAGTGAAGACATCTGTAGTCACATTTTTGTAAATAATTTTTAATTTAGTCATAAGTTTGTAATTATTTCATATAAAAATCATATGAATATAATAGGTAAGGATGTTTTTACTTGGATTGTAAGTCCTCCCAGACTAGACCAGACCAGTTCAGACCAGACCAGACTTGGATAGTTATAAAAATACAAAGAAACTAGACCAAACCAGACTAACAAATTACAGTCCAAGTAAAAACATCCTAAATGTTAAGTACTCTGTATATTTTTGTTTAGGGCCCATTAATCCTAAAGATGGCTCTCAGATTGATGTAAAGTTTCTTAATTCTTAAACATTCCTAGAGCTCATACGGAGTACTCCGTATATAATGAGAAATACTTGATGTACACATTTTTGTGTACACCTTTTGTACATTCTTCTGTCTTACGCAGACAGATTTGTCTGTCCATAGACAACTTTGTAGAATTGTTTGTGAATAAACGACTCTTTGTACCTGAGACAAACGAATATAAAGAAATACACATTTATGTGTATATACTACGTATGAAAATAGGATAGTACTTCCAATGAAAAAGAGAAGTACTATACTACGTAGATGAGAAGAGCTTTGGATCTATTGTTTGGTCCTCCATATTGAAGTAGAAAAGAAGGGTTGTGATGTTAACGACTTGAGTCCGGCAATCGGACTTGCTGATGCGGTTTTTACACTTCCTCAAATTTTCCGACTGATCACTTGTTCTTGATCTGGGTTTCATTCCATTACACCATAGACGAATCCTGGACACTACCGAAGCAATTCCCGTAGTCTGCACACCACATGTTTGCTTTAATGTCTTGAAGGAGAGCTTGTTCTTCACTATTAGCATCATCTTCCTACTCCAATCCCCACTTTAGATTGCTCGCCCAAAACCACCTTGTTTCTCCTGGCGCATCTTTTCTCTATGAGAAGGGTGTGCGTCATTTTCCCTCACTTTGATTTCACCCCAACGATTCGCTTTTTCTGTTCAAGAACTCCTGCTCTTGGACTATTCCATTCTTCATGTGCTAAGAATAGCCATAAGAAAGAACCTTTTGAAACTTTCAACAATGGGTGTTTTTCTCATTCACCATTGTTTTCTGATGGACATGCACGCTCGGGAAAGTGCAGAGTAGAACTTGTGGATAGTGACACTTGGAGGGTGTCCTCAGACTTGGCAGATGTATGGAGAGGCAATGTAGAGAGGGGATCAAAGAGAAAGGCTTTTCCTGGTAATGAGGAGGGGGATGTGGGAGAAATGGCGAAATATGCGCCTCCAAACAAGGAGGACCCTGGTTTCGATGAAATTGAGGAAATGAGGATCCGCGGAAACTTATTTTATAAGCTTGATAAAGATTCTAAAGAATATGAAGAGCATAAGTTTGACTTCCATGGTAGGAATAGAAACAAAGGTGATAAGAAAGAAAATGAGAGAACCACTGAGTGTAGGGAAAGGGGGCAAGAAAATAAGAAGGGGAAAGAAAATAAGAAGCAAGAACGGAGCTTGGAATTGACTAGGACTCCACGATCAGATAAGAAAAGTCATTTGCTTCCCCGTCTTCATGAATTGGAAGGTTCTGGAGATGCTAAGATAAAAAGGACTCTAACTTTCAATCAGATCACAGCGCCTTATCATATGCCGTTTTGTTTGGATATTTATTTATCTAAAGGGTCTGTACGAGCCAGCATTATTCATCGTCCATCTAGCAAGGTTGTTGCTGTAGCACATTCTATATCCAAGGACATGAAATTTGACTTGAAATCAACCAAGAATAGAGCTGCTTGTAAAGCTGTAGCAGAAGTGCTGGCTCAAAGAGCCTTGGCAGACGATATCCATAATGTGGTATATACACCCAGGAAGGGGGAACGATTGGATGGGAAATTGCAGATTGTACTTCAGGCTATTATTGATGGTGGTATTGATGTGAAGGTGAAATTAAAGCAGAGAAAACCCAAGAGAAGCCGCCACCTCCCACCAAATGCACAGCATTAACCATTGAAGCTCTTTCAACAGGAGCAAGATCTGTGACGCTGACAAACCTAGTCCGTCATTAGAAAAGCAAGGAAGAATCATCTGAAATATAAGTGTTTGCCCAACTCCATTAGTATGAGGCCTTCTGGAAGCTGTCAGAAAACAAATATGTGCAGACTAGGCTCAAAGCTGGCAATATCGTATAATGTGGATTTAAGATGACGCTTGTGGTGCTAACAATTTGTGTTATGTCTTCGGTGCCAAACACTTTATTCTACCTGTCAAAGCAGAGAATATCATACTAATGTGGCTTGTAATTGTATATGGCCTATGTCATAACGGACAGTTCAGTTTTCTGCTCAGGGAATGATTAGAGATCCATGGAGTCGGTTGACTTGATGTCGTCATGAAGCACAAATAAGACTTTGGGGGGAGGGGTTGGGGCAAAATATGAATTGAAGCGTTAATTAGAAATGTGTGTTTCTTTTTACCCAAGGACTGTGTTCTGCTTAATGAACCATGAATTAGATACCAGTGTAGGTTTCTTTCTTTACTGAAGCACTGAATTCTTCTTAAACAAAATTCACCTTAAACCATCCCTTTTGTGGGGTTATATCATTCTCTTTTTCTGGGAGTACACATCTTGTAAATGTATAACCAATGGCAATACCTTAGTGCTTTCTGCTTAGGGATCATTTACTTCCCGTTGAATCATGGCTGGGTTAAACTATATATCAATTTTATGATGCTTGTTTGAATAACCAACAAAGTGACAAACTTAAGGTCATTTTTAGATTGCAATCTCAAAAAAGTCTGACTTATTAACACACATGTATTCTATGGCGTCTTTCTTTTTACCCCCAACAGACGCTGAATCTGAAAGAGATATATCAATACAGGACAATTAAGTTGGTTTTTTTGTCTACTACTTATTTCATGGTTATGATTAAGTTATTGTCCTTCAATAACTTAGAAGTAAACAGCCTCAATCTGAGCCATAGAACTGATACAAGAATTTGTCATTCATAACAATATGATCAGTAAAGCAGCAGCACATGTATCCATCCAAACCTTAATCATTACAAATGTAGTTGTTATATAATAATCCAATCAATCCACAAGTATGTTACAAAAGAAAGAAAGAAAGAAAGAAAGAAAGGGGTTTTAGTGATTGGCAGTTGCAAGCTGCAGGGACAAGAGCTCTTCTTCAGGTATGATTCTAATATGGCAATCAGATCTGGGATAAGATGCACAGAGCAAAGCATACCCACTCTCCACAACATCGTCACTAAGCATTCCTTCACTCTGATCCACTGATCCACTGAGGAGCCGAGCCGGGCAAGTCATACACACCCCTAGTTTGCAGTCATGTGGCACTGACAAGCCAAAGTCCAATGCCTTTGATAGAATACTCTCATAAGGCTCTATCTCTAGCTCAGTTGTTTTACCCTCATGTTCAACTACCACTTTGTAAGCCTTGGCGATGCAGGACAAGTTTCTGCCCGACTGGGGCCACATGCTGTTCTGCTGGATTGCAGGGAGGCTGACCTGCCTTCTTGACGCTGCGCAGGTGAAGTAGGGCGTGGTTGCTGAGTGGAGTGTTGTCATTGTTTTGTGCTCCTCTCTGTGGGTGGGACTGAAATTGTGCTGTGAGGGTTTGGTGAGATATGTTTGGTGTAGGATGGAGGGGATGACCAGATAAGGTTTTCTGGTGAGTAATTGGCAGTTTTTGGACAACCAAGAGAAACAGAGCAATTGGGCCACAATTAGAGCCCAACATGAATTGGGATGAAGTTATTGTTAGCTAAGGGTCCTTGACTATTTCAAAAAAGAAAACTAAGGGTCCTTGACATATTGAAAATGGAGGGAAAGAAAATAGAAATAAAAAATGTGAGGAGTTTGGTGCATGGCTATGATTCTTTGCTATTTTTGGTCAATTAAGCCTACTTAGAGCCTGTTTGGTAACCTTGTTTTTCGATTTATCGGACTTATCAGCCAACTTTTTCATCAAACACATAACTTTTGATTTCGCACACTGAATTGTGTAATAATAATAAAAAATAAAATTGAAGTTACTTTTCTGGCTGTATTGGCGGAAGTTACTATAGAGGGTCATCTTAGCTATTTTTTCATATAAATCTTTTCGTATTTTATTAATAAAAAATATTTTAAATATAATTTTCATAAATCAGCAGAATCAGCTACTTCAATCATAACTTCATAAATTTTAGCAGAATCAGCTAATTCAACCAATTTCAGTGTTACCAAAAAACTACCGATAATTGTTTAGAAATTGACCGGGGGTAGTTATAAGGGATTATAATAAGTGACCAAAAATCTAATGAGATTAATCATAGTGAAAATGGCCTAATGCTCGTCTAACCAAAAGGGGAACGTTCTCATTTAGAGGTTAAACAAAAATGCAGCTTTTATAAAAATGTTGTTTTAAACCACACTACAACTATTTAAGAAAAATGATCTTCATACACGTTTTACTTATCTTTTTTTGTAGACATTGATTCGAAAGTTATGGAGAATTATTATTTGTTAAGATAGGTTATAGAAAAATCATTTTTTGTGTGAACAAATTCATCTGAAAAACTTGTCATATGTTCACGCTACCAACTAATGTTATGTCGCCACTGCATATTCATTGGAATTTGCATCACTCACATGTTTTGAGCACTCATATGTGTAATTTGCACAGATGTACATAAATCAAATGTATGTCTATTATATACTCCCTCCGTTCCGGTCATTTCTCCCGGTTTTGACTTGTCTCGCAAATTTAGACGGTGAGAATAAAGTGGAAATGTATGGTTGTAGTTGTGCAGGGGCGGATTCAGAAAGTTACAATGGGGTGGGCTGGGAAAAAAATTGAAATACACATAAATAATAATAAGTCAGGTCGTCAACGATTACAAATTCATTAAAACATCATTTCAGTTGTGCCCTACGCGACTTCAAAGTATAAAATTCATCAATAATAGAATCTATATCTATATTATTGACAAAGTCTCGTTCAATGTAGATCATCAATGAATCTTCAAGAAAATCGTCTCCCATTTTGTTACGAAGTGCCGTCTTCACATGCTTCATTGCTGAAAATGCTCTTTCCGTAGTAGCAGTAGAAACATGTAAGGTCAAAACTAGACGAATTAGTCTCGTCAACATAACATAGATTTCTGATTTCCCACTCTCCGTCAAATGTTGACATAACTCAACAAGTGTGGACGCTTCAGATGTTGAAACAATATCATGCTTGTAGTGAATCAACTCATACTCAAGTGAGACAATGTCTTGATCAGTGAAATCTACAGGATAAAACTTTTTTGCAAGTTTACATGAATTAACTCGCACATTAACATGGTATTCATGAATTTGTTTTCTTTTTCCCGGATCCCTCTCAATGGAAAAAGATGAAGGCAACTCAAAATTGGAGATAGATTGGATTTCAGGGACTAGGACATGTGAAGGAACCTCATTGACTAGATCTTGCACTATCGTAGGTATAGGTTCATAACTTCCTTCACCGGTTTGACGATTCACTTTTGAAAAGAATGATGAAATCAACTTCTTTCCCTTCTTGGCAACATGTTCATTATCCATTCTAAAAAAACATTTTCAATATTGGTATAAATTAAAAAACTTATATAAAAAATATTTAACAGATTCACTCATTCACTCTAAAATGCACAATTCACATATTCACTCTAAATTCTAAAGTTACTAGTATTGTTCAACCTAAAATGCACAATTCACAGATTCACTCATTCAAAGTTCACAGATTCACAGCAGAAGTTCATAACTTCACTGATTCACAATAAAAATTCAACACTACATCCCTGAAAACAACAAAGAGGTCAGAGGATTTACTTGGTCGGGCAGTCGGGCAGAGGAAGAGGCGGTCCGCGGTCGGGCAGAGGAAGAGGCGGTCCGCGCCTCCGCGGTCTCCGGTCGGGCAGAGGAAGAGGCGGCTGCCGGCGCTCCGTCGCTCGGTCGCTTCAGGCTGGGTGTCGCTCGGTCGCTGCTCGCTGGCGTCGCTGAGTCGCTGCTGCAGTGCTGCCTTCGCCGGAGTTCGCCCTTCGCCCAGTGGCCAGTTCGTTACTTCGTTCGACTTCCGCAATCCGCAGGCTGGGAGACCGGGAACAGTAAGAGGCTTAGGCATTTAGGCAGATGTGGGCTGATTTTTCTGGGCTGGGCTGGGAATTATTTGTGGGGTGGGCTGGCATTTAAATTTAGGGTGGGCTGAGAACAAAAAATAAACCAATCCTATTAAAAAAAATTTGGGCTGGGCTGAAGCCCACCCCTGGCCAAGACACCATCCGCCCCTGTAGTTGTGTAAGAAAAATGTGAATGAATGTGAACCACATATTTTTTCCAAAAGTGGAAGTAGAAAGAATTAATTGGGAGTTGGGACGATCCAAAAAGGAAAGTTTTCGACATTTTTTCATGGTGGAATTGTATCTTCTTCCAACAAACATTTTTATCCAATAGAGATATTGTTATGAGAAGGTTTTTGAGATGTGTAAACCAACACAGTGTGTATAGACTATAGTGGGCATGATTGAGTGTACGTTTTAAAAGAGTCATTCTTGTTGTACACATTTTTGTACACAATTTGTACATTTGTCTGTGTGCACAGGCAAAATAGGGGATGTGTACAAAAGTGTGTACAAATAGATTTTTTGATTTTAAAATTGACACACTCGACCATTACCGCAATGTTCATATACACATTGAAGAATTGAGACCCAAACTAAGGTCGATCACCTGCACCAACTGTCTTAATTACAGATGAAGATAAGAGGTCGATCTTCTGGTTTTGGCAAAGTAGCTGAGCCTCTAAAACTAACTATACACCTACCTGCGCCACTCAAAAACTACATATATGCCCGCACTATTTATTAAGTTCCTGCAGATCGAATTGCGATATTAATTTGATCGAAAACAAAACAAAAATGGGGAGGATAATATCATCTAATGCTTTGAAATGCTTTACGATTCCAGCAGAATTGGTATTCATTGGCGTTCTTCTTCTCTTTGCGGTGCCAATTGACGCCCAAATAAGAACGCCGTGCAGCTCGTCAATGCTCCAAAGCTTCATCCCTTGCTTAAGCTCCCTAATTTCAAGTTCCGGCGGCGGCTCATCATCTCCGGCGTCAAAAGCAGCGTGCTGCCAATCACTCAAGTATCTCACCAGTAACGCCACCGATTGCCTTTGCCTTATTGTCACTGGATCCGTTCCTTCCAATCCAGCCCTTGCCATTTCCCTTCCTAAAGCTTGCAATAGCAGCGCTGTGCCTCTCCGTTGCAAAGGTATATAGGGTGCATCTTTAAATATGTCTGCGCCACCATTTTCCTTCGAAATACTTACATATTCCGCCTAAATGAGTAAAATAAATGTTATTGGCAAAAATAAGACTTCATGTAGTGAGTATTATATTCTTTATTCCAAAATAATTGTCTTGTTTGCTTTCACACAAGTATTATTAAAGCGATTGAAAAGGTAAAAAAATGGGGTTGAGATTTCAGTAAAATAAATGAATTGGTATGAGCAGCATATTATTGCCAAAAGAGGAAAACATGACAATTGTTTCGGAACGAAGGGAGTAGTAATTTAGTCTTAGTTAGGGTGGAATTCAAAAAACAAAAAACAAAAAACTGAATCAAAATAAATCAAACCATAATTAAATTAAACCGAATTGCCAAAAAATCGAAATCAAATGTAAAAGATGAACCGTATTCATTCAGTTTTTGTTTTTACCCTTCAAAATTGAATCGAACCGATTAAGTTGAACTTAATAAAATATGAATTTTTTTTTGTTAATCATTAAGCATTAATCATAATATCATCAATAATCATTGCTTTTATTGTGCTAAATATTTTTTTTTTGGTTATATTTAGTTCAATTTATTAATATATTTGCACATTCATTGTCTATAATCATGCAACTGTATTGATCTATTTTTGATCTATTTTTGTGTGTTATGTATGTGTTTCGCAATTTCTTAAATGAATGATGTTATGTTTTTATTGTTTATTATATTACTAGTTGCTTTCATTTTATATAGTCATATTATTGAGATATAGGTTATTTTTTTGGTTGTGTTTAGAATATGAATTACTGGATAATATGGTACAGAATACTGACTTAACCATATCTGATTTTTTTTCATGACTGAAATATAGCCTCTGCAGCTCCCCTTCCAGCTCCAGGTATTAATATTTCCAAAACATAATACTCCGTAATTTATACTCCGTAGTACAAATCTAGATTCATGGTCGTTATTTATTTATCGTTAATATGTTTTTCTGTGATAAATGTCTCTAGGACCTTCAGCTTTTAGTCCAACAACATCGCCTACTCCTAGAGGTAAATTTAATTTATGTTTCGAAGATCTTACACACCTCAAGTTTTGAAATGCATAACTCTAAAGTTCTAGACGCCTGACTAGTTCCCCGCCTAGGCGCTAGGCGGTGGCCGGGATGTCAGCGGAACGACTAGTTGATTTGCTGATCGATTAAGGTGCTTAGTTGCCCGCTCAGAACGCTTAATTGGATGTCTAGACATTTTATCTTGATCTTTTATTTTAGTATCCTAAGAGATATATGTGCCTTTAACTTTAACAACTCATATGAAAAAAGCTACTAGTTGTGTTCAAAATAAAAATTATACATATTAATATACGTAGT